ACAGTGAGGCTCCAGAGAAGACTGACCAAAAGGGGTCAGTATTTGTTAAGTTGAAACACCAACTTGACAAATATAAACAGAGGAGGATTTATGCGTGGAAATGCTGAGGATTTAGCACCAGCATGATGAGGTAAGGCATGCCCACGCTCGGCTTGTGTGACCCAGGGACTACCTTACAGATGAGCCAATCCCCCCGGTTAGACTGAACCTGCATCTGTCTCTAATATTTATGTTTCAAATACTTCCTAAAGAAAAGTCTTCCGGGACAGCAGCTTGGACAACAGATGTGAGCTGAAGAGCCTGTCTGTACAAAGCAGTGGTCACTGATCTAAAATCAGACTGCGCTCAGATCAAAGTACAGCATGCTGAGAATAGCATGGCATTTATGAAGAGCACAGAAGATGCAGAGCTAAGTATAACCCTCAGAAAACAAACAGTCTAACAGGAACCAGAAGGTTTAGTGTCTGGAAAACTATTCCGGATATTATGAAACTCACAGGTTGTCAGAATTTAATATTGATTTAGCTCTTTATTCTTTAGCGCAGCCTTGTCTACCCAAGCTGCTGTGTAAAGTTCCTGCTGGAGTGCAGTGTGACGATGCTGCTCCCCCCAGGTAAGGGTGGGGTGCTGCTGAAGGTATTGCTCTGGCCCCCCCTCCATTCCTTGCTTGTCCTTCTGCACTTCCCTGGCACATTGCTGCTTATCTGATCTTGCAGTGAGCCATCCAGGAAGCTAAATTATCCCCTGATTAATGCTACCAGCTGAGCTTGCCAGTGAGTCAGCCCAGTGTTAGTGCCAGCCTAAAGGGACTTGCGGACCTGTACAGCCAGGGACTCCTAATCAGCTTCTTTGTAGTGTTACTCTACCCATAACTTCAGACTCTTCCCTTTGCTGATAGATTACTTATCTGTATCACAGCACACCCAGGCAATGCAGCCCCGATTGGATCTGTACTTTGAGGATGACTTTCTCTGGAACAAGAGAGGTGATGCTCTCTAGAATTAGCATACATCAGCAAAATCATACAGCATGTGAAGAACTGTGTAGAGTACTCAGCAGTCTGCCCTCTCTATAGCACTGCTGCAGGTGGCAGAACCCTTCCATGGCCATAGCAGTTATGCAAGATTAAAATTTAAATTTAAATGGGAAACTATAATTTGAGCTCCTGAAATCGTAAGTCACATCTTCAGCTCTAGCTATTGCTGATTCAATTGCTTTTCAGTTACTCTTTATTAGCTGTATGGTGTTATGTCTAAATACTGCTGAGATTCCTTGTAATTTGAAGACAGTGAAATGGAACAGCTAGATTTTCATCTGTAGTTGATCAGAATGTATTAATTTGAAGCATCATTTCTAAGTCTGACATGTTAAGAAGATAAGATGCTAAATGGAAATCTTTGTATATAACTAAAAGCTTCAATTTGGAAATGAAATATTTGCTTGGGAATTGCACATTTGTGCAAATGCATTTGCTGTGAGATTGTGTAAGTAAATATTTTTAATTGATCTTGACAAAATTAAGTAATGATTTTAGGTAAGCTGCTGGAGACTTTTTCTGTAATGTCTGAGATGTTGTTTGTTCTGCATGCCAGTAAAATGTTTTAATTCTCCATTTGAGAGATTTAAAGAGAGAGTTATTTTGAGACAAAGCTGAGGCAGAGATTTCCTGTGCTATGAATTAATAACCTTAGAAGTTCAAGCAAGAAAGCCTTTCACTGTTCTGGCTACCATGTGTTCATAAAGCTTCAAAAACCCATTCAGATGGAGTCCTCTATCCATTTTGGGATTGAAGCTGACCTCTGGTATTCTGCACCATTCTTGATGATGGTCTTTCTTTCATTTTTCCATTGTAAGGTCTGCTTTTGTCAAAAGATCAAAAACTGTGCTTATCTTTCAGCACATAGACAATGAAACTGAAATAAAAGAGCTTCTGCCCATAGGTTTCATAGAATCATAGAATCATTTAGATCACATGCGTATGTAGGTGCCTTTCTTAGCAGGGTCTGTGTTTAGATGCAGGAGAAGGAAAAGGTGATTTCTTACTGGACAGCAGACTTGGGGCCTTGGTTTAATTACTGCTGCCCTGGAGAGCACGCAGCTGAAGTGACGGGGCAATTTAGTGACACCCACAGTAAATACAACACTTGTCTTGAATAAAGGTGGAGGGGAAGATTTTGACTCCACTTTGGGTGGAAGTCCAAGCTGGTAAGCTATGGGTGGTGGATACTTGCAGGTTGTAGAGCTGTGCAGAAAAGCCTCTGTGTGAGGACGACCATCTACTCGTGAATATGCAGACATGGCAAAGGGGAGAATTTTCCAGTTGGAGTGAGGAACCACACTCTAAGGAAACCTGGCGTATTTCAGCTGTTTGTCATCTCTGTCTCTTGTCACTGTACCTGCCTCCCTTAAGTAAACATGGTAAATGTATATATACTGCATAGGTTAGGTGGGTAAGTACAGGAGACTGTCAGGCAATTTGGCCTCCAGGTCCTCGGTCTCAGGGTTTATTGAGGTAGTATAACTTACAAATTTTTATGTACAAAGTTGACACTATTGATTTAAAAAATTAATATTTAATCACAAGCACACAGCAAGGTCAAAGAATCTTTGGTAAGGAATTAAATAGACTTTTCCTTGCTAGCACTCAAAAACTAAGTAAATAAAAATTTAAGTGAAGACATTTGTAGCATATGCATACAGACTGCATTTAAAAATGTATGGGGCTCAGTACTGTCTGACTTAATTCTGATTCATCCATTGACCTTGTTATATAAAACTCAATGCCCTTTTTAGGGGGAGAGTTGCAAATTGTGCTTCTGCATATTTATTTAGGAAGTTCAATCTTCTGGGTGTTCATACCCTAATTCCAGTGCTAAGTGCAATCACAACATTGATTTTTCTCACTAAACATAACCTACTTTACCCTGGGATGGAATTTTTTTTTTTGTTTTAATGGGCTTTATATAATGGCATATGTGAAAACCACTCAACTTAATGCCCCATACTGTAGTTAATTAACAAAATGGCATTGTAGCCGTGGTCTTTCGTCCTCTGGCAGTATATTTTACCACTAACCTTGGCCATACAAAATGTCCATCCTAATTAACAGGAGCCCAGGTATTGACTATGTCAAGCTACATGGTGGAAAGAGCAATTTGCAGCTGCTGACAAAGTTGTAATTCTGTTGAAAATCCAAACATGAGGACCCTCATTTTGGCTGACGTTATGCCATTTCGGAGCCCATCTCAGGGAACAGCTGAACAAAGTATCTAAACGATCTTTTTTTACTTCTCTCCAGTTGCTAAATAAGAGTATTCTAAAATATGTCCAAACATCTCCTAAAATACACACTACCAAAAACATACTGATGGATTTATACAGATTTCAAGGTTGGTGGTAGTGTTTACTTATAAATGAAATGCTTATTTATTGTTCATTTATTTGAACTGTAATATGCTGGAAAACTTAATGGGACTTAGAGTTTTAATAAACCTTCAGTAATGGATTTGATTCTCCCTTTACTTTTTCTGTTTTCATTTCTGAGTAATTCAGCTGAAGGCATTAGAGATGCATCAGGTTTGTGCTGGCTTTACTAGAGCAAGACTGTAATCTGTGAAGCTCCATGGTGTTTCATGTTACAAATGAGAGAATTAAGCACTTATGCCTTTATACTGAGAAAAAAAAGTTTTCTTTTTCAGTGCCTTAAATTAATTGTGTTTTTTCTCACTGTTGAAAAACTGCAACAAGAAGATAAGTACTCTCAATCATTCATCACTACGTTTTTAAATAGTTTTAGTGTCTAAAGATGCAAAAAGATGAGTTTTTCCAAGGAACTTAGAGAGTGAGTCCTCATAAATGCCAAGAAGATATCAACATCTTGTTAGATGCTGATTTCTGCTCAATAGCTAATATTTTGTGTGGCATAAGTATTTTAGAAAAATACGAATTTTCACCATGCTTTAGCCTGTTTGTTATGGCGAAGGCAGTTCCTGCTGAGTAGAGGCCATGACGAACGTACTCTGGTGGTGTGAAGTTAAGCAGCCCTTTGGCTTCTCCATCCCATGCTGAGGCCAAGCTACTCCTAGAGCCATGTACTTCTAACTGGCATCTTGTACCTCACATACACATTGTCTTGTGTCAGCCCGGTGCTGGTGGAATTTTGTCCCTCAGTGTCCTTTGAGTAGAAAGTCTGTATAAGGATCTCTATTTCTCATTCCTGTGCCCAAATAGCATATTTGCTGGGCGTTCTTTATACAAATGCTCCTTAAGGAAGCAAGTGCCATTTAATTAACCCTCCAGAGAGTTATTGCTGATGCTATTAGCATCACTAAATAAATGCAGTTAACTTTCCCACGGTATGTAACAACTAACAGTGGCAGAAACCTGCATCTTGTAAGAACATCTCTGAGTTACAAAGTCTTCTCTTAACCAACAGCTGTATTCTCTCCAAGATGGAGATTTTAAACAAATTTCCTTTGGAATCTGTCACAAAGAGGGAATTGTCAGGTAGAAGAGCAACAACCTGTCCGCCGATATCTAGAAGAATATAATATAGATTAAAAATGGGGTATTTAAAAATCTCTAGTGAAGTATTCCTCTGTGCAATGATGAAGCACCAGTTTGTCTTGATACAGATGACCAGAACCTTTCTGAGTCTTCTGTGTTGGGACAAATTTCTATTTGGGAAAAATTATTGCTCCAATAGAGAAAAGAACCTTGAGTGTGGGTCTTCCTACAGGTTCAGTCCTAATCATAACTCCAGCCTGCTGTTGGCAGAACAGATAAAGGCACCCAGTTAGCTGGTTCTGTCCAATAAAAGCGATATGTTGCTTTAGATTTGTGTTCATGATACCGTTTTCTTATTTACTGATGGATTAGAAACATATCTAATACTTAGCTTAAAACCGATACAATGAGATTTCTATGCCTGAGCTACATTTGGAAGATCACAATCCTGCATGACTCTCTTGTAAACTTTTTACAATTACTGTTTCCAACAGGGCAAAGGTGAAGAAAGGTGTGAACATTCTCAGTGCAAAGACAAGTGACCCCCGGCAGTGGGATGTGAAACAAGAAGTGGGGAATGGTGGAAAGCATTCGACCACAACAGTTATTTGTCAGAGGATAGCACCAAGTTCAAGGAACAGGTATGAAACCTCATATTTTCGGCACATTAAACTCATTTATATTGATGATACCGTTCACTGGTTGAGAGACTTAGGCCTCATATTAACACTACTCATAGCTATTAAACCTGTAGCCTGGAAATCTGGAGACACGTTAGCTGTGGTACCATCTGCTGGCCTATAACAGGACATCTCAGTTTCCAGGTAATAAAATTCATCAGTTTAAATTAAAAAAATGAATAGAATAGGCCTATGTTGGGGGGGGGGGAGGAGAAGGGAACGTCTTTTTGCCATGAATATGAATATCCTTAACTGTAAAGGTTTTCACTGAGCGTAATTTTTTGGCTTGATAGTTTTGACCTTGTTTCTCTGAACATAGCGCAGCCTGTGTGCTTGGTTCATCAAGCAAGCAATGACTTCTTCCATGGTGAACTGCTGTAACTTTCATGTGTAGGTATAGGATAATTCAAACCTTTCAGTATTTAGTGTCTTGCATGTAATACAGAAGAATCCCCTTCTGCAAACTTACATCTTCCAGGACTGGGGGTCCCTGTGCTAAGCCATACACTGGTAACTGTCAGAGGCAGAGCAGTGCACTCCAGGGAGCACTGGTATGAAGCTGCCAGTGCCTGCTTTCCTCTTTAATGTGTTTTTACTGGGACTTGGTCTGGTTGTTTCACAAACATAAAAGCAGTGCTTTTTCAGTAAGTATGATTGTCTTCTGTAACGCATAGTAAAGTCGTATATTGCCGCTTTCAGTGGAAATTATTTTGCTTTTGCTGGGTATCATCTTAATGAATTCTCAGAGCACTGCTGTACATTAGTCCACGCAGAGCTTTTTCATTGTACAGATCCGAGCGATGCTTCCCTTGCTCTGTGCTTATTATTAGCCTCAAACCTAGGCTCATTGAAGAGTATCATAAAATCTTTGGTGGATGGTGGGTTGGTTATTGCTTTCCATGCGCTTGGTTTGTACTTCAGGCAGAGAAAACTGAGCAGATTTTAAGATTTGTATTCTGTGCCCAGTCAGAGTGCCTGGGAAATATTAGACTTCTGTCAAGTGCGGAAATTTCTCTTGTCGTTTGATTTAATGTATTCACACTTGATATCATTGCAGTTAGTGAGATTTTCAGTGGAGGGTTTGGGGGAGGGGAAGTTAAAATATATCAATTGAGCTTGCCAGAAGTAAAAAACAAGAGTTTGCAAGAGAGGACATGCTTTAGAACAGCCTATAACTCTGAATGTATTTGCAACTGTGGAACTATAATAGTCAGGTTATCAAACCCCAAATTAAATCTTCTCAATTCAATTTGCATAAAGTCTAATTAACCCATAAAAATATTTTTAGCACTAATTATGGAAATTAAGTTCAATGTTTTAATTAATCCTTTTTCATTTGCGTATGTAAATAGTCCCTGTCTCCTGAAGGCATGATGAACCTGGGATTGAATGAAATGTTTGTGTACAAGGAAGAGCTGGATAGAGAAACGTGGGCAGGTGTGTACTGAGATCCCACTGGGAGAACATACGATGTAGTGGGCGTTACAGTTACTGAGTTTCTGGTGTCACTTGGATCCCAATGCACAGAGCACAAATATTCTATTAAGCTAATTTAATTTGGTCGAGAATTGCAAGTCCCTAATGGGATCTTTCTGTGCTGCCACCAGCTTTTTCAGGCTAGTTTAACAGTGCAGTTCATTTGGGTGATGTGCAGTTGGTGTGGCAAGATCAGTGTAGACGTGAGGTACTGTTCTGGAGTTCCAGCATCAACACAAACTAGTCTTCTCTTGCAGCAAACTCAGACAACTCAAAAATATGCAGAGTTAATTTAAGCAAAGAGAGGCGTTTTCCACTGTCTTTATAAAGAGCTTCTGAAAAGCAAGTCAATGGAAGTTTGTAGTTCTTCAATGCTTTATGAATATCCACACAGCTTGTCAAGAAGATGATAGTATGTTATTTTCTTTACATGGCCATCTTTTTCTAGTATAGCTCGGAGAATCAGCCAGCAGGAAAGGAGAATGAAGCATCTTCTATGGTTGTGCCTTTTTCCTCTGTTGCAAACAACGGGATTAGTTTGGCTTTCCCCTTGTATTGTCACATGTCCCTAGTCGGTTGTGAAGTCAGAATATTACTTAAATTCATAATAGATTCTCAGCACACTGGAGTGCCTCCTCCTAACAAACTATTTTGTGGTAGCCAGGTAAAACTGCATCCAGGATTTGTTCTGGTTGTAATGGGGAGAGTGATGTCTTGAGTTGTTTAGTACATGAACAGGAAATTCTGGCCTTTCTCTATCCGCTCCCTGATGCACCATGGAGAACCATTGCACTCTTTCCCCTTCGTATCCTAAGAAAGAAATGCCCATGCTCAATAAAACTGCTAATTTTCATTGCCACATTGCTTTTCTTGCGTATTTCTACTATCATTAGTGTATTGGTATAATTATGTTGTAAGCACTTCAAAACAAGCAGTTTATATCTGAATGCAACACCGCTTAGCAGCTATTGTACCTTTCAAATTATGAAAATAATAAAAAAAAAGGATATATCACATCCATAATTGTTTACCAGTAAATTTTGAGAATTTAAGTGGGTCACGGTTTTAAAGTAATATTTATTCTCTTTGAATTTATGCTGCTAAAGCCAAGAGCCATAGCTTCTTAACTTAGATTTATTCATAAAGGCTTTACCACTGTGGCAAGTAACTGAAAACAGCTTGAAATCAGCAATGTTTGTGTGCCTCATAATGCAATTTGTGCTGAGATTCAAGTAGCTATTGATGAGGATAACAACAGTGTTGATTAGTGAAAACAACTGCTTGGTCACGTGTTTTCCCTTGTTGTTTCTTATTTCTGAAGGAAAGCTGGTAGGTTTGAAATGTGTCCACAGGGTAGAGGAAGAGATATTTTTGGTTACTGTTATAACCATTTCCATACCTTAGTATTGCTTCTGTTTGGTTCCAGCATAAAGGTTTGTGTGGTTGATCTATGATGACATCTACCCTGAGAACAGCTTCAGTGAAAGGGCTCGTATTTGCTGTGTAGTTTGTTCTGGATTGCCACCACAGGGTACAAGAGCTCTTCCAAGACAGGGCAAGGGTTATTTTTAACCTAAGTAATTTTCGCCTTTTTTTTTTTTTTTTTTTTTTTAATAGCATACCTCCCAGCTGGTGTGCTGTCAGTTGTGGGGATAAGAAAGATGGATTAAGGGTAGGAGCAAGGAGGATTAGGGAAATTTCTTAGTCCTATAGCTGCGGCGTCAAGAACTAAGGAGCAGTGACTGGGGCTAATCTAGGCCTAACTCCTCTTGTTCTTCTGACCTGGAGGTGGGCTGGAACAAGCTGCTTTCAGCCTGTTCTTGGGCTGATGTTTCTGCCTGTGGATGTTGTACTTCGTTTCTGAAGGAATGGAGTCACCCAGGGCTTTCGATTTGTGTTGATCGGGTAGAGAAACCGAGTGTGGGAGAACATTTAGAGACATTTAGAAAAACTGACATAATGGAAAACTGCTGTGATGTAGCACTTTATCCTCTTGGCCTTGAACCTTTTGAGAGGCCCGTGGGCTTACAGCTCTCCAGCCATCTGTCTGATAAAGAGGCAGACTCGGGAAGAGTGCTTCCAGATGTTACGTTTATGTTTCAGACTGTGTCACAATCACTTATTCCACACGCACACACTTTTTTTAAAGTTGTTTGTGGGTTTTTTTTAACACTGTCTGGGTATCATTGCATTCACATGGAAACAGCTAATGATGTTACCAGGTTGTGTCTCGTATCATTGGGGCATGGAGGAAGGCAAGAAAACCATTACAATTCTGTGCAGGTCCCTCCTCTGTCTGGCAGCACCATATGCTGCCAAGGGATGTCAGTGAAGTGAATTCTCTTGTGACTGAAAAATCAAAGTAAAGTGTGTATGTACAACATGCCTCGGACTTGGAAAACTGTAAGCCATGCAGGGTGTGTGGCTGGCTATACCTGAAGACAGTCAGTCTGTGCCCAGTATATGGACACAGGGAAGAATATTCACACATTATAAGTAGGGTGTTATTAATTTTTTTAGAATCTGGGTCATCTTCCCCTGGCAGTTTTGGGTCAGAGTGGTTTGTAGAGCTCCGCAGAGTGGCTGTGGTGCCTGCTGACCTCAAAACCGTGCAACCTGAACAAAGGACACCGGTTTTCACAAGGACTCAGAAATTTGGTGCTCATGGGTCAGGATTTTTTCATTACAGTTTTTTATCCTTCTGCCTGATAATTGAGGCAAGATCAAAGCTGAGATGCCACATGCCCCTGCTGTAGTAGTAGATGCTTGGGAAATTGTATACATCTTCAGGAGGTCATATCTGTGTCTGCAAAACTGATTTGTACAAACGGTAGAGATACTTTGGGAGGAAGACATCAGCAGTAGATTTCTTATACCATTGAACCCCAAAAGAGACACAATTTCCATTCATTTATGAGAAAGTCACGTATGAACAAGCATTATGGCCTCCTGAGTATTTTGTTTTAAGCAACATGCATATTTTGGTGCAAATTAGGTGCAGTCTTTTAGGCTGCTGGCAAATTACCAGTGCAACCCTCAGAGCTTCCAAGGCAAGTCATTCCTGTGATGTGCATCTGTCTGCTTAAAATGACACGTGGGAATGTCTGCGTGTAGCTGTCAATAACAGCGTTGGGAATAATACAGCTAAGCCTTTACCCACTGCTTTAAAGATCCTTTCCCTCCACCCTTTCTCATCTGATTTCCCAAATAATTTATCTCTGACTGCTGTATTTGCATTTTAAGATTTCTTTTTATGTTAGGACGCCTGCTTCAGGTCAAATTAGGGCACAGATGTCTCCAGCGTACGGTTTAGGTGCCAAAGATACACTGGACATCTGCACATATGGTGGAGGATCAGCCAGCTGTGCCTTGTAACAATATCTTTTCTAGGGCACAGAAGACTAGGGTTAGAAGGTTGCTTCCCAAAGGGGTCTTTCATATGGCTCCTCTTTTGCTGCTTTGAATGTCAGGAGTGTTTATCAAAG